GTGTTGATATACGTGACCATTGATATGTTTAGTTATGATACTTATAATAAAGATTGTTTTGATCATATACTGACATAATCAATAGACGAGTTTGTTTGGAGATCCTTTAGAAGTTTTGACATAAATGAGGTTGTACACATTTATAAGGTAACATATATAGCCGAAGTGAGAGATTGTTGGGTTTATTAATTTGTCATGTAGGCGTACATATGTAATTAATTGTGTATAAGGCTATCTTAAAGTTGAACCCAATTAATAGTTGGACTAGGGGCATCTAAATAAAGTGTGGGCCAGTTTAAATGTGTAGAGACTCGATCCATTAGAGTTGTATTTGACGATGAGCCAAATACATATGGAAACTATAAATAGAGTTATAGTCCCCAATTCATATGCAACTTCTCATTCTTTGTGTCATCCCATCAATACAAGAGAAAATATATTGAAGAGAAATATCCAAAACTCACAATCAAGAACAAGATTGAAAAAAAAAACAAAAATCGAGAAGAAAGATTGGAGCAATTAAATCAAAGAACAAGACAATCAAAATTATAGAACAAGAAGCCAAAATCTAGATCGAAAACTTAAGAACCAAAAGAAGCAATAATTAAGATTCAAGATCCAGAATTAAAGAATTATTCCCAAAGAGTATGTTTCGTATTATTAATTTTCTTAATAATTTGGCATGGAGGATCTTAACAATAAAGTAATTAGGTTTTCAAGTTTTAAAAGTTTCTAATTTTATAAAGTTTAAAGTTTCATAAAGTTAAAACAGTCCTTTTCTTTGTTAAAAATCTACGAGAAGAAGAATAATTTATGTTCTCTTGTTCTTGACTATCAGCAATGGAGAATATCAAAGTTCCATTCAGAGGTATCAAAAAGGATATTCGAGCCAGACTATCTTGTTATAAGCAAGATTGGAATACTGGAATTCGTTCAGGATTCGGGTACATCATCTCTCTTGATGAAAAGATATTTAGAATGAACATGAAAAAATGAAATTATAACAAGAGTTCCTGAGATGGAAATCTAACAAACTCCTGTTTCCTTATGTACCAGAATACTGGCTCCAACAACATATATCTTTTTTGCCTCAGCTCTTCCTGTGATTGCATTTGGAGAGCAAATAAGTAGAGAAACCGGTAAACTTTTTAACTTGCGTTTTGGCTTGTGATCAGCTGCCAAAGTGATTAATGGTTATTTTCACACAAAACAATTTTTCTGTTTATGAGGGATTACAAGCTTTGTACTGATTTATTGCTTTGTATTGCAGATGGGAGCCTAAGCACAGTAGAAACTTTGGCATCAACTGCAATTTGTGGTACGATACACTCTATATTTGGTGGTCAACCTCTGCTGATATTAGGAGTTGCAGAACCAACTATCATAATGTACTCTTATCTCTACAAATTTGCCAAAGGAAGGGAAGACTTGGGACAAAATCTCTATTTGGCTTGGGCTGGATGGTATAGTAGTTTTCTTTTGACAGGCTAATTACTGTTTTGGAAGATTTTATAATCTTGATATTACAATGAGGTTTTTTCCTTTCTTTTTGTTGCAGGGTTTGTGTGTGGACAGCTTTGTTCTTGTTTCTTCTTGCAATATTCAATGCTTGTGACATCATAAATAAATTTACAAGAATTGCAGGGGAAACTTTTGGCATGTTGATTGCTGTTCTTTTCATTCAGGAGGCAACTAAGGTACTAAAAATCATTATTCCGAGATAGTCAGATTTTGAAAATCTCATGGGATGATTTTTAATGCTATTCTATTTTGATTTATTTGATAGGGAATTGTTAGTGAGTTCAAAATTCCAAAATCTGGGGACTCAAGTTCAGAGAAGTACCAGTTCCAGTGGCTTTATACAAATGGTTTACTTGGAGTTATATTTTCATTTGGACTTCTCTACACCTCTTTAAAAAGCAGATCAGCCAGGTCATGGTGTTATGGCACAGGTTTGTAATGCAAAGTCAGTTGTTGATTTCAGTTAAAACAGAATAAATATGCAATTCGAAATGTCATAACCATTTTTGAAATAGGTTGGCTCAGAGGCTTCATTGCATACTATGGAGTGCCCTTGCTGGTCCTAGTATGGACAGCAACGTCATTTGCCAC